GATGTTTCTTTACGGAGTTATGCATGATCAACGAAAATTTTAAGGGGTGGTCGGAGACTTTTGGTCACCCACTGTATGTATATGTATATGTATGTAGAAAAATACAACTTTTTTCCACATTTTCCGTCCGTTACATATTTTTTTATTTTTTAAAAAAGAATGCGTTTTGGACCGTGCATGTAAGGTCCCAAAGACGCTACATGTTAAAAGAATTAACTTGCATTAAACAAACTATAGAGATTGAGTATTTTGATGGATCTGTGTGTTGTTGTGTCATTGCAACATTTTGATTTTAAACACACATTTATTAACGTTAATAAACACTTTTGACTTTTACTTTGACGATATACAACGCGTAGTCATTGGGATTTCGTTCTATTGTTGATTCACATTTATTTTTTGGAACCCGAGATCACATAATCAATGGTACAAATGACTCTGATTTGTAAACACCCGAGACATTACAAATTACTATTACTGCATATTAATATGCGAATTTGACGTCATTTGTGATGCGTCTCACCGTTTGCAATCCGATAATCTTTTGTTAAACAGGTTTTATTGAATTAAGAATGTTCGAAAGATTTGACAACTTGGCAATACTCACAATAGTTATTACAAACGATTAATATTAATGTGGCGTCATTCCCCATTGTACAAGACTTTGATATGGAAGCCAGAACGTGTAAAAATAAGTATCATAATCAGGTATATCAAACACCATGATCTACATACAATACTAACATCGATAACATTCAATCTGATGGGGGGAGAAGCTGTTTATAACGAGAAAAGTCATGTCACGAGGGCCAGGGGTCGAATGACAAATCTAATACAGTAATAACAGACGCAGTTCTCGTGTGCGGATGTTTTCCGGTTTATTATGGCCGAACTCTGTTATTATTATACCAACGGACTAAGTAAAACCCCGCTATACCGAAGGTAAGTACAGAAACGTCTATAGCAAATGTAACCCGTTATTATTATACCGAATTTACTCAGGCTCGCGTAATGCAGGGAGTAAACGCGTTTTGTAAATCGCAATAGTAATAGCGTTTTAAGGATCCAGCTGTGCACCCAATAACACGTGAATTTGTCATTTATCATTATCATTATTGGTTCTCCCGAAATTGCATAAATGCAAGCTCATTGGGTATCAAGCCTGCGAGTCTCCCTATCTCCCTATCTCTCTCTCCTCTCCTCTCCTCTCCTCTCTTACACTCTTGCAAATTAATAACGTCCGCCGCGGCCTGTCCACAACACTATTATTAAAAAAAAAATACATTTTTATTCTTTAAAAAACGTGGCCCCGAAACATATACTTGTCGGTGTCGGGCCACTCACCACCTGTTCCCTGGACGCAGCCGTGGTCCCCAACATGCGACCAAAGCTCGATTATACCCTTAGGACAAGTAAGAGGTAATTATCAATATCGATTGATATTATTAAAATGACGACATGAGGGAGAAAAAAAAAGTTGGTTATTACATGGGTCCCCATGGGACTCTAGATCGAGCTCCACGCCGGGCGCTGTTGCGCTAGTTTTGTTACGGGCAATGCCTCCGAGTACCTCGTCGACAGACGTCGGATACGAGCTCTCTAGAGTCAAATAGTATATTAGTGATGTTCATGATAATATGACTTTTACGTTTGTTGGCTATCATTCGAGACATCTTACCGTTCAAGCGCAAACATTTAATCAAAGCTTGTTTGACTTTATAGACGAAATTTACAAGAAGCTTTGGCGAACAACAAGCGGCGTCATTGATGATCGTCTAAAGATAACTGTGTAAGTAATTTGTTCAACATTTTTCTTTATTATTGATATATGCGACTTTGATTCTAATCTGAGCAAATTTTTTTGGTTGCGCAGCCTTACAAAGGACTATAAGGCAAAGGCCCTCGAATCATCGGGGTGTCAACCCGATTTGTCCATAGCTTGTGGACGTTTGATCCCACAGAGAGAGGTGACGAGCACGTAGATGGGTGCTCGGGGACTGTTAATAAAGCACAACTTTAAAAAAAAGAAGGTGAAAGCACCCGAAATCCGGCATCCCAAAGGATTTCCTCTAATACTGACAACATTTTAATGTAATTGCGCTCTCTGCAATCTTTCCATTATGTAATATATATAACATCTTCTATCCATTGTTTACACGAATGAAAAAAGTCAATGTACAATAAAGTTTTTATTAAATTTTATCTCGTCCATATTACACTAACAAATGATTTACAAGCAAAAACGTTCGTTGACCCAAGGTATTATCAGGCATACCACTTTCCATTACTCACTGCTTTCTTTTGTCTCGTAGCAATGATTGGTCGTTTGATGCCATAGCACTCGATTGTATCCTGTATGAATATGTACAAATATGCAATGAGACTATGATTTCCACCAGACACTCCAAATATCACATGATTATCGCTCACCTTCCATGTGTGGTAATCCAATTCCATCACTAATTGTTTTTTCGTCAACCCCTGTTGATAATCTTCTTGTGTCGGAGGTTCGCAGATTGCTACAAAATACACGATGGATGGCGTTAACACCCCAATGTACAAGATGATAAATGCTAAACGATCGCTCTTTGCGCGACTTACATAGTATTGGTTCACCCGTCTCGTCCTCGATATATGCTTTTCCATCCCGTATTAAAAATGCAACATAAAACAGATTTTCAACGGACTGACCATACGACTCGGGGTTCAGTATGAATTCGAACATGTTTATTGGTGTGTTTTCTTCGAGAATTTTGTAGATCATGACGACATTACGGGTTGTCTCGTTCTCTTCTCTTATGAGATCACCTTCTTTTATCTGGAAAGAATACAAGACGATAAATATATACACACACAAAATCTCCACTGGGAATTGATCCTAGAAAACCGCACCAACCTCTTGTGGTCGCTTCAAATCGTCTTTGCATTTCACAAGCCGAGCGCGCTGACCGGGCGTCTTTCGCTGTTTCTGTTCGACTGACAACGGACCAAGCCTGCGAAACACATAATAACGTTTATTCATTATCCATCCACACCCATCAATTTTTAATCCCTTTGATTTCGATACTTACATAAAGTCCATAGTCGGTACCCGATCTGTATACCTGGCCGCTACCTTTCCGAGAGCTTTCCAGTCTAATTTCGGACTCTCATCTTCATCGTCATATTGACGACCACCCATGAACGTAACAAGTTTTGCAACGTAATCGTCGATATCAAATGCATTACTATCCACCCGCATCAACCTGGCCTTCTGCACTCCGAGGTCGCCAGAAAGAACTAGTAGGCGAGAATCGAGCGTTGCCTCATGTGTCTGCTTTACTAATTGTTGTTAATGATCGGAGATGTAAGATTAGTGGAAAGCTGACGTATTTTGAATGAGCATGCACATTCTTACCCTTTTGATACAGCTCATTCGCCTTGTTCAGTGTCCTCTTCAGGCCGTCCGACTCCGGCCTCAGATACTCCTGACGATTTTCTAGAGGAAAAACAAACCATTTGTACCTGGTCAGATAATGCCTATTGAACTGGTAAGTCAATGTCGATGCCTACAAAGAGCCGACATTGACATCTCTATCTCAAAAAAATTTGGAGTTTGCAGTTCTACTGTAAAGAGGGGAGGAGGTATTCCACGCTCATGACACATTCTCGGGACATTTTGTTTGTCTTTCTCACTAACCTTCAGTTTGTAATATTAGACTCCGATAAGCTTTCCTTAACCACCTCTTTTCTTCTTTATCTTGATTGGGGTCATAATCTTCATGTTCGAGACCGTCTTCCGTTTTCATTGTTAGTACAGTTTGTTCTCCTACTTCGCTCGGAACGTCGACGTCCATTGCGTTCTCTTTGTTAGCGTCGTTGGTGGCGCGAGTATGAGCTGGCATTTCTTTTATATTTGTAAAACGTGTTTGGAGCAAGTTAAAACCAGTTATTGTCAAGCCAAAGACAGGAACTTGTACAGTCGCAGCAATAGACGCGTCCTGCGTGGGTAGATGAACAAGGTTACTTGCCTGATTTGTGACATCTTTCATGCAAAAAGTAGGAGATTTCTCACCGAGAATGCCAGCAAATAGTGGATGAACCAGCCAATGAGATGGATGATCGGCGCATTCAAAAATATTTGATCCGTGTCCGCGATAAGTGATACTCCGGGAAACAGAGAAACAAAAAAGTTTCGGTTTGCTTGGAAAAAATATACTTCAAGTTATTCGTGAACATAGCTTTTCCGACAGCTGGTAGTGTACAATGGAGTGCCTGTCAACACAATGTTAATATTCACCTGCGCGAGTGCAGACAGACACGCTGCGCATTTGTTTATCCATTACTGATTTCATGGCACTCCGAGATTGTGACACGACCCCGCACAATGCACTTGATTAATCAATTATTATCGTTATTATAGGTTGTTGAGGACTCGACAATAACGTCACTTGATCTGAGAGACCGTTGGCAGTTGACAAAACGGAGAGATGCATCTTTGAATTAAAGATTTGGTTTCGCTATCAACCGTCGTCAGCTTTGTCAATCTGCTGCTGATTATCACATATACGAGTCGCTGCTGCATGCCAGGTAAATTCTTTTAGCAGTCGCAACAATTGTACACTTACATGATTCCTATAGAAAATCGAACATTGAATATACAGATATGTATTGGAATAGCTGTTGCAAAATTATCGTTGCAAACTCTTTTCCAGCTGACTGGTCGTCAATACCATAATCAAATGGCAAAAAGGACTTTTGATCTTTTCCTTCAGCACAAGGCTGTTTGTAACTTTTGGCGATGTTACATGTATATTGTTCACCCATCGTATTAACTGAAAATGTTCTAATAATAACTTATTAAAGACGCGAAACAAAATATCACGTATCAAACTAACTTAAATACTCTCTGGATCACTTTATTACCAGATCAATGTTATCGATCTCTATCAAGGCATCGGTTGATTAAAGAACACAAACTCAATGATGGATAAATTAGTAGCTGTTAGTGAACCTGTTAACACCAAAAAAACCTTATCAGTACCGGACAAAAGCAGAATTCTGATTTGTATTTACGTTAATAGGAGATATATTCGTGGAATTTCTACGCGGATTGTTCGATCTCATTAGCCAAGTCGCACAAGAAAAGTCTTTGGAACACGACAAGTGAGTAGACAATATTAAAAGCAATTATGAGAAGGCCAAGGCGTCGGCCAAGCGACACATATTTAAAGAGTCGATAGTGAGATTTAGTCGGTGCCTGTCGTAATTATCATGAACGCTATATGATAAATCTAAGTTACGTAATACTATCCATTTCTTGATGAAGGTTACCGTTATGGCGTATTACTAATGCGTATTATAAACATGGTCTGTGCGTTTGTCGTAATAAAAGTTAAAGTTGAATCCTTTCTATTATTGATACATAATACACTTTTAACATCATTCCTAGATGCACATGTTTTGATTTATGAACAATTCTTCGTTAACGCAGACGAGATCTAAAATAGACACTACACCCAATTTCATAAGACATGGTATCCATCGTCATCGCAGTCCTAGTCATTCGTGTGTGTGTGTTCAGTGTCGATCATTAATTCTTCGAGAACGTCGAATGGACCGTCCGACGCGTTGGTATGTAATTTTAGATGAGTTGATTGGATGACAAGGTATGTAATTTTAGTAGGAATTGTTAAATAGGCGCGTGCTAGTAATTATTAATTAGAACAGTTTTTGGGAAAATTCTTAGAGAATGTGTATTTTAATGCTCATCAATCGTGGTGGACACGCGTATTCTGCCCCAACCACACGAGTCCACGTAGTAGTAGATGCGTTAAAATAATCACCGTGACATCAGCACTAATCACACACTTCATTTGTCCACGACATATACACATCCTGGCCTCGTCATTAACAAAGTTGCTGATAATGACATGACGGTGCCCCAAAATGACAATGGCAATAATTGGAGCTCATCATTGTCACCAAAACTTACGATATATGATGAAAATGGTTGTGCCACTAACAGACCATCTCAGTAAGCACAACGTTATCACGGTCTACATGTTATAATCTTTGTGAACCCGATGTAATAAGACGTTCTTGAAATAACCTTTATGATTCTGATCATCCCACCGATAAGTAATAAATTAAGCGAAAGGGTGTGAAAAAGCACAATCAAGAAATACGTCGACGATAGTTTTTCTGATAGGATTTGAAATGGTTTTCAATTCTAATATGAGGGGAGTTGTCATATTCCATTCAATTTGACGTATTCCTAAGATCAAATGCATTCAATGCCGACAGAATAAGCACCACGTGATTCATTGGCCGTGAAATTAAAATGCATACCGCAGTGGATATGTAATCAGAATCTTTATTATGCGTACAACAAATATGGCAGTCAAGACAGGGCCCCTCTCGATTCGGTTATGAGTTTCCATCTCTTTCACTTTAGTTCGATTCTTTTCTCTAAAAAAAAAAAGTCGTGCATACAAATACAATAATTAACTCTTTTTTCTTTACTTGAGCTTGACGTTAATTCTGGTATCCCATATTCAGACAACAAAATATGATTCCGGTTATTGTGGTCGTCTCAACACTGCTAAATTTCAGTAGAGGGAGACCTTGCAGTCATCAGGAGAACGGAAAAGAAGAAAAAGTATAACGTCTCGATTACTTACTATAGTCGCTCAAGAATCAGATTTACCCTATTCCGTTTAATATTGCACAACCGAGTACACGTTTCCACCCAATTTGTCCCTTCCCTTCAAGTCGATCAATTCAATCACAAACACAAACTCGATCACCCGCCCGCCTGCCTTCTCCACAAGTTCCTTTGCAGCATATGCACTCCCACCCGTTGCTATCAGATCATCTACAATTATTACATTCTGTCCCTTTTGAATCGCATCGGCCTGAAGCTCAAATTCATCGACACCGTATTCTTTAGTGTATGACGCAGAGATTGTCGAACCGGGCAGTTTACCCTTCTTACGGATTGGAGCGAACGAGGAGTGTAGACGTAAAGCGAGCAATGGACCGAAAAGGAAGCCGCGGGCATCAAGGCCTAATGGGAGTGTTTTCGAGTCATCAGTAAAAAAAAAAGCAAGTGATTAGATGGATCCACTTTTTGTGTGTATAATCCGATATATCATCCCATCGAGTTACCTAGAACAACATCGATTTTTTCATTCGTTGTCGATTGAACATGATGAGCAATATGTGTAAGTAACGCCTCTACAGCACTTGGGTCACGGAATATTGGAAATATATCACGAAATATAATTCCCTAGGAAATTAAAAGTTCGCTTTTATATAAGTTGTATTCATGCTGTGAATACTAATAGTTTTAACTGAGTTTACCTCTTTGGGAAAGTCTGGTATGGCTCTAAATGGTTCAGTTATTACAGGTTAGATAATCACCATGTTACAATTTGGTATCTGTAATCGTCCACCAGTCCAATTTTATTCATCTCGTTACTTAATTGTGCTCACCTACTTCACGAAACTTTTTATCTTCTCAACGTCAGCCATAAAAGTGGATGTTGCGGGGGAAAAAAAGTTGCAAGAGTTAGAAGCGAGATGGCGAAGATTGACATTATTAGCCAATGATTGGCAATATCGATCACCCGAAGATGATTGGCAGTATGCATGAACGAGAATATAACAGACTGAAGTGGCGAATTTATACATGTTGAAAATGCCAAGTACACCATACGCCATTCTAAATAGTGATAAGAATTGTAGGAATTGATGAGAATAATTTAAGCATTCGATAATGGGAGGATCGATTTGACGCACTGAATGACCCCACCCCGTCTACTAGAGTAAGCGAGAAAGTGGGGTTTCAAATAATTTATTGTGCGGATCATCGATAAAATGCGTATGATTATAATAAAATACATATTAATATACATAGTAAATACATAGGTTTTATGTATGTTTTTTTCAACATCCCGATATGGGCCGCATCGTCTTAGTATTTACACTCATATAACCGCTTTGTCCGATCGAAACCTTTACATAGGCCTCATAATATACTTGAGCAAAACATCCCTCTCCAGCCACGATGAAAGTCGCCGAAGTACCGGGAGAAACAGTAAACGTGAGAGGGCTTGGGCTCATCACTGTTACGTCAGTCATTGTGTTGATGTACCCGTAGAATACCGTTACCATATAATATTGTTGTACGGTAACGACGGTTGCGGCATCGCATACTATTGTCAAGTACGCTTCCACACGGTCCGTATAACTGCTCGATTTTTGAATATCGCCAAACGTTCCGGTACAACCTCCTCCATACGCTACGGTGGCATGGCTCGGGGGTGGATTACTTGGAGGACGTGCAGCCACTGCCGTGGTCAAGACGACGATAATAAAAATGAGGATAATTGATTTTATGCGTGCTTGTTGGTTTGATGAAACTTTCATGTTGGCAATGAAATTGTTTACCGGTTCGAGAGATTGTCACGAATTTATACTTGTTAGAATGTTAACAGTTTCAAATTTGTGTATTTCTAGAAAATGTCAAGGATACCAGTCAATTATTGGTATTCTAAATTTAGCACGAGTTTTACTACAGAAATTTATGACATTGTCCAAGGCATATAACAAAACTAATATTCCCGTGTGTTGACGGTAAATTGCATAGCAAGACACATATTAGTATATCAATATGTCAACAGCCATTCAATTGTACATGTTGATTTTCTCATTTACGCGAATAATTCCGTATTTTTCGAAATGTCGATAGCATTTTCTTTTTCCTTTGTTCAATCATGTGTTGTCGTGCAACCTGATTATCGAACACCATCTATTTATATCACTATGACTATTACTATATCAGGTTCACCGTCGAGGAAAGGGGGAAATAGCCATTCATCTACAAAATCTTCGATAAAGAATTGGTCCACAAAAAAAACTGGCTTCTTCATCGATCAAAACGATTTCTTGAGCCGAAATCAGTAATAATAAAATTTTCCGAGGGTCAAGAGTTGCCGTTCTAACAAAAGCCATGTAGTCTATCAACTTTGAAATTATCAAGTTGTCTGCAAAAGTCTTCGTTGAGCCAAAAAGACCGAGACAACGAAACAATAATATATAGTGTGGTGAAAGGCTATAAAGCTAAAGCCATTATAAGATATTAAAGTCATTATGAGATATGCTGCAACAGTGTTTTTAAGGTCGTCGAGTGACACGTTCAAATTTGTGTTTTTTCTACGCTGATTATTGAATCGGTTAACTTATCGATGTTTCACATAATAATAATTACGCACAATGATTTACCTGTCTTACACGTAAATGCTATTGTTGTCGTTATTACTGTTATTATTACAATTTCGAAAATAGGAAAAAAGGAAAAGCATATTATTACAGACTTGAAGTTCAAGAAGGTATGGTTAAAGACAAACAAGTGTTGTGCAAACGTCGAAACCAGAATTGTGTCAATGTGTGATTGGGGTCAAAAAAGCATTAAAAGACAAATTAAAGAACTCTCATGCGACAAACAAATCTTGTATTTGTACAGTATATACCGTATACCAGATTTCTTTCGCGTTTTAGAAACAATGTTGCATTCGTTCCACTTCCCTTCAGAGTAACGAGAAAATCGTTTCTTCACTTTGTTTATGAACATGTGTTTGTTGACTGTATTGTTAACTCGCTCTACTCGTAATTTGCACTTCCAAAACTTAAGGAAAGCACGAAAGAATGAAAGTAACATACGAAACGTATGGCCGTGATACGTAATAAACCCTCGTTGTGGTGATTTAGAGAGAGATAACTTTTATTGCAATCTTCTCATTTGAATGCGAAAACATTCCCTTGACATAGCCGGTACTTCATACAGAATTGACCTATGTGTCATTACCTCTTTATACTGATGTTTTACATCATGTCCTTAGAACAATAGTATAACAAAAAGATGCACCATTATTACCAAAAGCAACTCGCATGTCTTATGGATACCATCTTTGAATATTATGAATGTTGCAGCTCAGTTGTGATCTTTTTGCATATCGCGATTAAATTGAGGTAATTAAAATTAATATACTAGAAAATGCACTTTCTGTTCTACAATGAAATAGTTTAACAAAAAACAGGAGCCTTTTATATGACAGCACACAGTCTGTTAACTCGGACACTTGCCATTCAACTAATGACAGATTCATTAATATTGGAATCCGAACTTTTGTCATACTTTTAAGCTCCGCGAATTGTTGATAAGAATGCTTTAGAGTCCTATTAAACGTGTTTACTTGGTCGTGAATTTTTGACGCTTTAACGTTCAGGTTAAAGAGAAGTATTATGCAAAGTACGTAGTTTATTTGACATATAACTTTAGACAAAGCTATTTGGAGGCATTGGTTCATCAGTCTCATTAAATATAATCGCTCTTGTTCCACGATACACTTTTAGAAGAACTTTTAATCGTGGTAATAAATGCTGAACGGATTTCAACAAAAGTAAGTATTTGTGTACGCTGGGAGGAGGGGGGTAACTTACAATAAGCATGACAATATTAGCAGATATCCCTACCTCAAATACAATTACCATCCGATCTTGACCTTCAACGATAATCGCCATATAGAATTTCACCTGCAACATAGTAATACCTTCGTTGATGATGATATCGGCTATGCGCGAATGATCAATAAAACGTGAGATACATCGACCATCCATATATACAGTCTTCACTTGTACACCAAGATCCCGTACGATGAGAATACTCTCTAGATTAATAAGCAGACGACAAAAAGCGCGGGAATTAGGATACCGTCGAAAAAGATGATTAGATAACAAATTGCCAGGATCAATAATTCTAATTTTTACCTTCCTTCACTATGTTGCACTTTCGCCAGATCCAGATCAAAATCATAATCACACCGATCGCATACTTAACAACAAAGTTATTCTTTTTCCCCCCCAACGGAAACAAAAAAAATCCCGTCAATGTTTTCAAGCTCGGGTTTCTCTCACCCCAAAATCTTCCTCAACTGCTCACCAGTAATGCAATCACGCTTGCTAAAACAAACATACATCCAAGATCAAACCAACCCACTAGTGCGTAATCTGCTGTCATGATATACTCTCGTGCATTGTCGGCCAGCAAATTGCACAAAACGCATACCATTCTGTAACCTAAAACAACGATGGTTTACAAGTTTTTTGCCATTTCTTATGATTTTCTCCCAACACAGTCATTTGTATCACATCAACGTGTTACAGATTTAAGAAGTAGGGCTTGCATTTTGTGACATGTGTATGTAATATACCCGTGGAGTTTCTTTCGTTTCTCTTTCTTTCTCTTGCCGATATATCTCTTTTCGTTATGTTATTCTATCAATAGTTAGAAATAGTATTGGAAAAGAAAACAAAGAGATCGATTGTGAAAACCCTGGGGTGCATGTTCGGAATGAAATGTCAAGAGTGTGATCACTCACCCCACGAACACAAGCATTTCCTTCCCTCTGATGAAACAAGTGTTTGATCAACATTACAAATTTATAGCGGCTCATATTTATCATAAATGACTGTAAGATCATGACTTTCATGATCAGGCCTTATCTGCCGATTTGCAATGTCATAATTACACTTGTCTTAAATTTATTAAATACCCTTGATTAGCACGTTTTACAGCGTGTCACACCGATCGTGCCTGATCATGTGACTTATAAGGCGTTAAAATGAATCACCTTTTGCCTCCTTTATTATCAATATTATTATTATTATTAACCATGGGTATAGGACTCAGCTGTCTCGGTTTTGGGGCGGCCTCTTGGATAACTTCAACTATTGTTTCATGTTTCTCCGCCGCTGCTTGCACACTCGCGTGCAAGTCTTGTAATTGTAACAATTCCATTGCGACTAGAGTTGGGTTTGCGGTATGTTAGTTGGTTTAATTTCGGGGGGAAAGAAAGAACACAAGTACACGTAACTTATGAAACTTCCTTGTATCCTCGTTCATGCAGATTATATTTTTACTGAACTCTATGGTAATGTAAAACTATTATTGCGATGATTATTCAGAACTATTTTGGATACTCATACTTTTCCCATACTGTAGTTAGCATGGTTCATGCTGTCAGATTGGGCGATAAAACAGTTGGAGAAGATGACATATGACTATCTACATCTGAATTGTCCGGAAGGAACTTGTTATGGAGTGCTTGCGGTAAGAAAACGAAACCAACTAAATTTGATTACAATAAAGATACGTTCTTGAGAATTGATCAGTGTCTTCATCTTATGTATAGGTACATCGAATATGTTTTGCCTTGTCATTATTTCATTTTATACTTGGTTTATCAGTTATCGGGGTTCACAATACGAGAGATAAACGAGCTTCCATCCAGAATGGGTAAATAGCCGTCAACGCCTAGAACTTCATTTCCAATCGTTGTCGATTCATTCATTCCTCACGGTTTTTGTTCATTACAGCTGGTGGGGTCCCAAGATTCTCCTTTGGATAACATTTGTAGTAGTGTGCTTTTTTATCCCAAACGAATTTTTCATGTTCTGGGGAAACTATATGGCCATAATCGGGGCCACACTATTTATCCTCTTTGGCTTGGTCCTCCTGGTCGACTGCGCGTACACATGGAACGAGAGATGCTTGGAGAGATGGGCCGACTCTGATGACAACAAATGGAAATACATTTTGATTGGATCCACTCTCACTCTCTACATTGGAGCTCTCATTTTAACCATTCTCATGTACAAATACTTTGCCGGTTCTCAATGTCACATGAATCAATTCTTCATCACATTCAATTTAATCCTCTGCTGTCTAGTCACCTTTTTGTCTATCCACCCCACCGTGCAAGAGCAAAACTCGCAATCCGGACTATCACAATCTTCGATGGTGGTGATTTACTCGACTTATCTCATCGTCAGTGCCGTGGTCAACGAACCGGACGATAATCTTTGTAACCCGTTAATACGCTCTCGTGGCACTCAGACAGCCACAATGATTACGGGTGCTCTATTCACATTCCTTGCAATTGCATACTCAACGTCCCGCGCAGCAACACAAGGCAAGGCATTAATTACTAAATCAGATTACCATCCTTTGAATACCGCCACTGCTGTTCCACTTGTTACTAACATCCCCAACGGATCCTCACCCTCCTCGGGGCGTTCCGACGCCCTGTTGGCTGCCGTTGAGAGTGGAGCGATACCGCATTCGGCTCTGGATGATGACGATGACGATGACGATTCTTATGATAACAGAGATGATGAGAGGAATGGAGTAGCGTACAGCTATGCATTCTTTCATGTTGTTTTCGCTATCGCAGCTATGTACGTTGCGATGTTATTGACCAACTGGTAAGTCAACTAAAGAGTGTTGTGAGAAATGCTGTTGGTTATTCCTTACGTTTTGTCAATCCATCCTCATCTTTCTTTTGCGCCTCACCTGTCTTGTAGGAACACAATCAGCACCTCGAATTCTGACGAACTGGTAATCATAGGGCAAAGCTATACTGCCGTGTGGGTCAAGACAGTTTCTAGTTGGGTTTGCCTGCTGATATATGCATGGACGCTTGTGGCTCCAGTGATCTTTCCTGAGCGGTTCTTGGTAAGATTATTTTGTTGTCAGCAACGAGGATAAGAAGAGTAAACACAATGCTAACTATATCGTTATTTTTAGGAATATCAATAATACACTTTTTAAGACATGTAAATCATAATATTGTATTCGTAAATATTGGAAATAAATTCATTATTGTTCTGGTTTGTAAATATGAACGATTACGTTAGCTAAGAAAATGTGGATGAGAGGGATTTATTGTAGTTTTTGATGCATTTCGCTTGCGATGTTGTCTGGGCCGGGCATTAACGTGTGCAATGAGAGAAAGAATTTGCAAATGTCGTTGAGAACGGATATTACACATTTAGACAAGTTCATTTCTAGACAAAAAACTTTATTTAAACTACACCACTCTCTCTACATCTAAGGCATCGAGAGTGAAAAGGAAAAAGAACTATGAATGAAATATAAATATATAACAAAGAAGAAAAGAAAATCGATTACCTTTGCTTAAATAAAAGACTAATGTCTTGAATGAAAGCAGAGACTGAAACCTTACAGACTAATCAATGGCAACCAATGGATAACCAGAGACGGTATTCAATTCAGTGCTTCAGAGGTGGTGTTCGATATGATATTCAATAGAGTTTGAATATAGAAAAAGAAATTCTCGTTCAAAAGTCCGATAACGTTCGAAGAAAAAAAAAGTTTGTTTTTTTGTAGGGGAAAAATCAGAAGAAATAATACCCTCTTGTGTTTTCATTCTAAACTCAACCACAAGGTCAACATTCTCACTCGACGACGTAAAGTATGGGTAGTAATTGTTCCTTTGCCATTCGAGTATTTTGATGGATCAATCTTCATGAGAAAATCAGTGGAATTGAAGCGAAAAAAAAAATAGATGAATCACAGGGTGAGAAGAGAATAAAGAGAAAATGAGATGACAGCATGCAGATGAAGATGTGAAGCAGACAAGTTCAATGAAAATAATCGAGAGAAGACAAGATTAAAGTACAATATTGAGATTCCTCTTGAGTTTACCGGGTAATTCGCTATTGAACTCATTATCTCTGCACATTGATTCTTGTCCTTTTCTCGAGCAGGCAGGAGAGAGAAACTAAGGGTACTAAACAGAAATATACACGGAGTTACGATGTCTTTACACAATCCCTAATCGGTAGAAAAAGAAAAAGAAAAAGAAAAGAAAAAAATTGTAAACCAGAGACAAATACTCAATCTCAAACAAAGAAAAGAAAAACAACTGTATCAAAATTTCATCCCATTTGACAATGGGAAAGGCACCATTAACCGAAATAAATGTTTTTTATCTCTTACTGAGTCGATTATAATATATTTATTGCTGAAGTTGATGTTGATTGTTGGTGTAGATGTAGGTGTTGATTGTTGGTGTAGATGTTGATGTTGATGTTGGTGTTGATTGTTGGTGTTGGTGTTGGTGTTGATGTTCGTAATTACGTTATTATAAAACCCCACTCATCGACATTAGCTACGACACCACTAATGTTAGCAAATAATTTGTAATGATTTCTAGTCGCGATCGAAGATGTGTTTACCCCGTTGTTGAAATTGCGTCATAGGTCTACCACTGCCCACCACTCCGACTAAGAAGATAGAATGTGTTTGGTATGGGAAAAGAATGAGACAGAAATCCGTAACAGCATAATTAGTATAAACAGTAGAGAATAATTGGCATTTGAAAAGTCGTTTCGTATCTTATAGGTTACAATGTATCTGATTTCCTCATTAATCGAACTTGCTTTCAAAAATCAAATCAGTCTCACTCATTCTTTAATAAATTACCTTTTCCCTCAGGGTTTTCTGGCGTAGCGAAAATACTCTTCTTGTTGATCGGCGGTTGCACTAACCTCTTGGCTTTGTTTGTTCTCCTACCCGGCGCCGCTGCAGCAGAATGAGCGAACGCTAACCATTGTTTCTGTTTTACAACCTGCTCGTTAACCTTTTTTTGCCCATCTCCCAATTTCTTCTTTTTCTCTTTATCTTTGTCTTTCCTATCGGCTTTCCTGGAATTAGCATTATTTGCGTTATTGTTTACACGCTGTTCTTTCGGTTTGATGTCTTGCACGTTGACAAGCTCGACATTATTGTAACCTTTGAACACGACCGAAAACACTTGATCACCACCACCGATAGCGGTAACTGTGGCTGGATAGAACTGCCCGTCGCCGCTCCACCGTGCTAGACAAGTGTCTCCTACTTGTATGGGTCTTGTGAATACAGGTATGGAACTAGTCGCACTAGTTGGTGTTGTTGGAGAGGAAAGGGATTGAGATTTGGGAGAAGTTGTATTAGATGGAGATTTCTTTGGAGAATTAGGTTCAGCAGCATCAATCAAATCACTTGTGAGGTTGATCAGTTCAGTTAAATCTTGCTTTAGCTTTAGAAGCTCAATGTTTTCAGGATCTGACTGTAGTGCGTTATCAACTTTGTCAAGCTGGTTTTGGTATTGGGCTAATTCGTCAACGTCCATTTTAAATATGAGATTCGAAAAAGAGGTAAGATGTTTTGTTAGCGGGCGAATGTGCAGAAGAAAAAGTATGCGCAAACGAGAGAATAAGAAGTGGCTGATAACCCATGTAATCTGATTATAACGTGAACGCCACATTGATTTCGGGGTTACAACAAGTTAACGTAGTACGATTAATTTGCAGGGGTCAGATTATTATACTAACGCTAAAGCTCATCTCGTGGGAGGTCAGACAAAGTGAAAGTTTGACTACGCGAGTTAAAATTGCTAATGTGACTCACATCTGGCTATATTAAAACGTAAACTTGTCGAGATAAACATTTTACGCAATATATTCATAAATTCCTACCTCTATATAAAAATATAATTTATCATGGGACCCACAAGAATTATAGCATATCAAAAAAGAGCGATTACTTTCTTAGTTTCAATCAGCAATTGGCTGTTGAAAAGACAGCTGCTTTTTTAAAGCAAAGTTATGTTGTCGACAATTATGTCCTCCCTGTGCCCAAAGTTTACTACTTAAACGATTTCTTTAACAAAATTAGCCTTCGCGTTCTCCGATGTTAAATTTGTTCAATCGCTTCTATTAATAAGATTGGATGGAACCAACTTCCTCTTAATGGCGTAATAATAATAAATAAGGCTTGAAATCAACAGCGTATTCGCTGAGAAAAAGAAGAAAGGTTTTCTTTTTTATGTATCATTGTTTAGTAATTATTTAATATTAATAATTCGGATCATTATCACGGGAGGTGCAGGTAAAAATTTTGGGGAGCTTATTTTCAGAACTATATTAATACTATTAACTTACCCTGCAATGATTGCGATCAAAAACATTTTTAATCTCTTTCAACAGACAAGTAACCATGCGGATAGATGAACGGAAAGAGAACGAGTTGTAAAACTGGCTTTTTTTTTGAAAGAGTGTCATGGACATTAGTTTGTCAAAATTAAGTTGTAAGGATAAGCGAACTCCCTTCACGTTGATCGTGAAACCCTCTAATCGTTCAATATTCTTTCACGTCAATGTTCCAAAAATAGCCGGGATAATGGATTATTGGTTCGAAAGTTTCGACGACACATTGCTTTTAGCATAATCAGGGTTAGCTTACCGCCGCAAGTCAAACATTAATAAATGTTCGGCTAAACTGTTTACCGATAAAAGTGGCATGTACAGTACAACACATTCTAAATATTCTTTCAACTCTTTCATCACCCAACAAATGCGGGAATTCCAAAAGACATTTCTTATCGTCACAATGGATTATCTTTTTTTTTTTACAAGAACACAAAGAGTGTGTTGTACTAGTCATTCATACATGCCGTTGTCTCATTTCATAATAATGGACAATAAATTTATTAATAGCATAAAACCACAACTATTGTGACACCATTAACTCGTGTCATCACATTACTCAAACATCCCGGCACCACACATACTCATCTTATATGATTTCTCAATCAAAAGACACCCTCGCGTCTAGCGCGTCAACCACGCACGCACCCCGCCCCAACTCCGCTAACGGCGTAATCTTATATACAAATTCCACCTCATCAACAGCAACACAGCATCACACTATGGCTGAAGTACAGAATTCCTTACTCGAAAGACACCACCAAACCCTCACTGCCATATTCTTCACAGAAGATATGAAACAACTCGAAGACCTTCTCTCAACACCTGACTTAAATGTAGACATGCCAATGGATGCTCACGGTCATACCGCCCTCCACTGGGCTGCTGCCTTAGGTAGAGTACAGTTACTGGAACTTTTGATAAGTCGTGGAGCCGACTTGTGTAAAGTAAACAATGACGGAGAGTCGGCATTAATAAGAGCTGTGTTGGTAACTCATAGTTTTGAGTCGCAGACTTTTCCTGCTCTATTGGAAATATTGACCAAGACTATCGGTCTTGCTGACAAGAAAAATAGAACTGTATTTCATCATATTGCTATGACTGCTGCATATAAGAGTCATGCTGCGTCTGCTGAGTATTATATGGAATGTCTAACAAGGTGGATAGATGGCCCTTCCGTTAATGGTGTTATTCCATCGATAGTTAACGTGCAGGACAAAAATGGGGACACTGCATTGAACATAGCTGCTAAACATGATAACGAGAGAATAGTGCGATTGTTGCTTGAACTAGGTGCAGATAGAATGATCGAAAATAGCGTTGGAGTAAAGCCAGAAGATTACGAAACTATTGGGTATATTGACGATCGAGCTGATATGAATAGTCATGTGAATGAGGGAATGGCAACTGGAAGAGATGAGGTGAGTTCTCGTTGAGCAAAGAAAAGCTAATGACGTTACTTGACAAACGTTCTACTTGACGATTGCTATAGACAGATGCTCAGGCAGTTATGATTGTACTTGTATAACAGGAGCATTATAAATTTGTCGACTATGTTGTTAATTTTCATTCTGTTCAGTAATCTCTAATCACGATTTTTTTGTGCTCAGCAAGGGCAAATAGATGGAGCGAACGCGCACTTTAAGCCACGCAAGCGAGCACGCGAAGTTGCCTCATGTAATTTACCCTTTTCATAGATAATATCTCCATCTTTAGCAAACCGCTCATTCTGCATAATTTTAATTTTTTTCTGTCCATATTCTCTTTCATTTCAACAACAGTGATCCACCGTTTGGTTCACGATGTCGAAGAAGAGTTTCGTGAATTAATAAAACAAAAAGAATCGGCTCTTAACGCTGCCCGTCAACAGCTACTCGCGAAGCAACGTGAGGCATCGGAAGTTGGTTCGAGTATACGCTATTTCCAAACGCAAGAAAGGGAATTAATAGAAGCGGACGAAAAAATTAAAAGTCTCGAACTCGTTTTGAACGAAGAACGGGATAATGAGGATAAGAGGCGGAAAAGAGCTCGTAGAGAGGAACCGCAACAGCAACAACTACACCCACACTCACAACAACAATTGCAACTAATGCAGCTACAACCGCACCTACAGCCGCAATCTCATCTTCAACCGCAACCTCATCTACAACCGCAACCTCATCTACAACCGCAACCTCATTTACAACCGCAACCTCATTTACAACCGCAACCACATCTACAACCGCAACCTCATCTACAGCTGCAACCACATCTGCAACCGCAATCTCATCTACAACCGCAACCACATCTACAACCGCAACCACATCTACAACCGCAACCTCATCTGCAGCCACAACCGCATCTACAGCCACAACCGCATCTACAGCCGCAACCGCAACCGTACCTACAACCGCAAACGTACCTACAACCACAGCCACAAGTGCAGCAACCACTACCATCATCACAGCAACAGTTACAGCAACAACCGCAACTGCAGCAATCACCGCCTCCCCCGCCGCCACCACCACCACCACAACAGCTGCCATCGTCACAACAATCGCAACAATCACAACAATTACAACAGCAGCAGCAACAACAAGCACAACAGCAACCACAGGAGCAACAACAGCAACAGCAACAACAAGAGCAACAGCAGCAACAACAGCAACAGGAGCAGCAACTGCAACAGCAGCAACAGGAGCAACAACAGCAGCAGCGACAACATGAACAACAAAAAGAACAGGAGCAACAAAAGGAACTGCAACCACAACTGCCGCAGCAAGAGCAACAGCTGCAACAAGAACAAGAACAACAAAAGGAACAAGAACAAAAATTGCAACCACAACCACAACTGCAGCAGCAACCACAATTGCAGCAGCAACCACAACCACAGCAGCAACCACAACCACAGCAGCAACAGCAGCAGCAACAATTGCAACAGGAACAACAACTGCAGCAGCAGCAACAACAATTGCAACAGGAACAACAATTGCTGCAGCAGCAACAACAATTGCAACAGCAACAACATTTGCAGCAGCAACAGCAATTGCAGCAGCAACAACAACAACTGCAGCAGCAACAACCACAATTGCAGCAGCAACCACAATTGCAGCAGCAACCACAATTGCAGCAGCAGCAACATTATCCGCAAATACAGCATCCGCAACTACAACATCCGCACCCACAACCACAACCACAACCACAACAGCAATTTACTCATTCACATCCAATGCATATTATTCCGACGTCGACAACACATTCTGGTATGTATCTGATTGCCAGCATTTCAAGCTAATAAATTGACTCAAATCTATATTTGTGTTTATATTTATATTTATATATCTAGTCGATGATATGCTTGATAAACATATTCACCAACTCCAATCCCAAATAACCGCTCTTACGCGAGATCTGAGCCTTCTGCGTAGTGAAATTTCATTTATAGATGCACGCAGCGTTGAAATAGAACGAAATGCAATAAGGAAGATTTCTGACGTTGTAAGGGTTGACGAAAGACAATTAGAGGAAATGGTCAAATGTTTGGATGGAAATGGGAATAGTGGGATAAATGGGAGGGAAGCTGTTCTCACACAATTGAAACACATATTGTTCGAGAGAAAGCAAGAAAAAAGGTAAGTGGCATATAATTGCGAATAAATCTGATAATTTTATATTTGTGTGGAATTATATTACTGTATTGTAAATACATGCCGTCTTTAAGAGTTTCAAGATCAATTAATATTGTTATTATTTAATGATAGATAATATTGCCACATAAACATTACCATTTTATTATTAATTCTTGTTGGCGCGATGTTGCTGTACGTGTCTTTTGACCTCTCACTATCGGAAATGTATCAAGTTTTTTGGACCGGCATGGGACTGTTTCTCTACAAAAACTCTAGAATTTATCTTATAACAATTTCGTTAGGATCTGAGATAGTCTTAAAGAAATTGACTTTAATATTGCAGAATATGGAAATGATCGTCTTAATTATACCGAAGCCGCAGTTGACTGTACGTAATATTGACGTGCTTGCACAAGTTGTGACGACGGGGTATTATGTGATTTAAGGCCAACTCTACTTATAAAGGGTTTCCATTCAGCAATCGATCTACGCGACATTTACTGGTATTACATATTACTAGACATATTATCAACTCGGATCTGCCATGCGCATCATCATCTTTATTGATCAAAAGCTAAGCAAATAACGCTCATTGTATGAAAATTATAAAAACCTCGGAATAAGCAATTCGCACTCGATAGCTACATATATACAAAGTAATTACGTTGGATAAATAGGGTTACATGAAGCATGAAAGGAAGAAATCAATTAAAAATCATCGAAGTGGAAACATTGAATTAATGAATCATACAGATTTGTAAGAAAAACCAATTACCGCAAATAAAAAATATATGGCGAGCCGACGCAAACAAGTCTAAAACCAATTCTAAACAAACGACTGATAAATAAAAAGTAAATAACGTCAACAGCGAGGCGTCTAGACGGCTCGAACAAACTATCTTTCTAACAAGTCCACATCCTTATTGTTATATACGATCAATCGCCAAGATTCAAACAACACACCTAAAAATAGATATAACGCTTGTGCCGTTCATTTTCTCCGTATTTCTTACTCTCATGAAGGCAAAATGTCTGGGAGAGGATAATTAGGTCCAAATAGAATATCGTAACTTGGCACTTCATCCGTATTTACTTGCCCGCCATGGATATAAGCCCGGTGACGATGTAAATGTGGTGTCGTGTTGTAACGAGTATCTCCTTGTTCTGGAGTTACCGCAGAGTAATGTGCCTGATAACATTGTTGATATTTTAAGAGGAGTTCTGAGAAAAAGGGAGGGAGGGAAAGAGAATCAACAGAATAGAGTAGGTAAGCGAAAACAATACAGCAGGCGCGCAATTGAGTAACCCATACAAGATGTGGTTGATAGTATACATCTTGCTACTATCTTCAAAGCTCAACCTTTTTTTTTCTTTAGTTCATTCTTACCTTCATTCCATACAAATCCGTCTCCTTTTCCAACAACCGCTACGGCTGGCAAATCAAACTCGTCGGGATTTTCGTAAAAATGTATCTCTTCCTCAACCATGCACCTGCACGGAAACACGAAAGTTCTAGCGAAATGTCTTCTACCACCAAACAATGGTGTTAACAGAGAACGAGAAATAGGCAGACGTAGGTCTTGTGTAGAGTCGGAGTCTGCAAGAAGTGGGTCTGAAGTGGGAGGCGAGATTTCCGAAGTCGAAGTAGAAGAAGAAGAGTCGAGAGGTGCTGTTTCGGAGGAATTGGTCAGGGTTGTGGCGGTTGCGGTGGTCGTGGTTGTAGTCGTGGTCGTAGTCGCGGTCGTGGCTGCAGTCGTGGCCATAGCAGTCGCTGTGGTTGCAACAGTGATTTCAAGTGGGTGCGGTTGTAGAAGTTTGAGGTGGCGGATAGAGAGAGGCGGATGGATTGTAACACATCAATAGTAACTGCATGATCTCCGGAGAGAATCAAGGCTTCATCGAGCAATGCCCGGAGAAAGATTCCCCGAGCCAACTTAGGCACTTGTACATCTCGGACCCTCCTATTTTTTGAATGTTCCCACACCAGCTGCAAGTTTTTGACGTGCAGGCCTCATAACATGGACCCCCAATTCTTCTGCTTTAGCCAGCAGACGTTGGCGGAATTGATAGTAGCGTTTTACGAGTGACATCTTTCTTGCTTTTCGATTTACAAATATTCGATATCCCAAAAGGAGGAATGATAATGGCATCAAATTCGCGCGAAAAATGCGACGCTCTTTTTATGAATTTCACTTTGTAGACGTTTGATTTTTCGAAAGATTGCCGTATCAAGTCGCAAAGCATGTTTCTTCTTACGGTTTGAACTAGAGGCCGCCCAGTTTGTCCTTTGTGGAAAGTAAATTATCCATGTGTTTGCATAGATGAATAGTCGTCCAATGTCGTATTGGCCAATTTTACCTACACCTTTAGTAGGAGAGTACCACGTGAAGGGTGTACGAACGCCAGGATTAATGGAAACTGCATTAACAAAACCATCCGCTTGGGTTCGCGGAGTTGTTTTGCGCCTCGCCTCGTAAACCCATGAAAGTTTTCATTCATTCGTTTTGCGAATATATGTGAGCTTGCAGTCGGACGTCACTCGGTGAGAAACGGGCCACTTGTTGTTCTGCCTTCTCTTCGCGCTTGTCGTCCAGCGTGATAACAGGCTTATGGCGATATGCAGAAAGCATTGATGGGAGGTGACATAAAAGCGGTTCCACGTGCTTTTGAAAAACTCTGCGTCCTTTCGAGAGCGAAATGATAAAGACGAACTGCGCTGGCGCGTGGTTGATCCGTTAATTATCCCGTCCCTAAAATTAATACGCATATTGGTTAAAAATAAATAAATAAATAAATAAAACAGGAAAGATAACAAAAAAAAAATTTTTTTGAAACGATGCCTCGACTTCCCATACGCTAGAACGGCATAATTTATTCCGATATCCGAGTGTCCAGAAATATGACTATCCAGCATTACAAGAAATTGTTGCGCTGAATCATTTAATGCTTTATTCCATTCGGCGAAGAATAGATTATTGAATTTGGCAGTAGCTGATTTAGATGCTAGGATCGTATTTGACGTTCCCGATGACAAGAAAAACATTGGAAATAAATTAAAAAGTTGGTATGCGATAATTATTGTTATTAGCTTGCCAATGGGAAAGTAAAGAAGACTGATTCAATGGAAGAAAAATCCTGACGTCTTTGTGCCGGGCATGATCGAGGCGGTTGATCCAATTATCTTAGATTCCAAAGGCCAGCGGTAAATTTGATATATGATACAAGTTCAGGTGTAATAACACTCGAATATTTGACCCCTTAAAGCAGGTCATCCAGTAAAACAAGAAGACAAGTCCGTCATATGATTTTAGCATTACAACAGAGATGCTATTTTGTTGCAAATACAGAATATGTGAAAGCAGTATACGCAGAAATTAAAGTAGCTGACATAATTTATAACAGTGGGAAGCAAATGTTTAAATCATTCATTGTTAAACGCGATGCATGTAACCTGAGAAGTACTTCAAAAACAATATAATGGCGAATTGAAAGGATTTGCAAATAAATATTTATTTGTTGTTTTAGTTAATCCGGTTTACTATTACATCCCAAAATAGGTATGGCGTCGTATCTACACTAACTTTTCTCACACGACAATTTCTTTATTACAGTAAGGTTAAGTAAGAACTATGACGAGTCTTTCGTAATGCCGAGCAAACTATTTTTTAGGACCAAACGCGACTTGATCTCAATAAACTCAATTTACAGTAAAAATTTAGAAAGACGTTGGATTAATTGTAATTATTCACGGCCGGCCTCGAAGTTAATGAAAGGTTTGCGCACAACTCAAAATAGAAGGAAAGTAACGAAATGGGAAAACTATGCTCACTATTTCAGGTCATTTAACATTTGAAACATGCCCCTTATGGTTTGAATAAAGTGCATCAACAACTAATTTCAATGCATGCAGTAGAATTCATTGTGTTACGTCAGTAAATAAAAATACGCTCATTCATCCTGATCCATCCTTGCCTTCACTACTTTTTACTATAATGACAGAGTTTCAGGTACGCCCAAATTGTCTTTCTTTTTGCGTATACTTTCTTAGTAGTCGCTCTAATTCGGCGTTGCTTCCACGCTACCCATTTCTCTCTGTTCCGCTCCCTGCTTCAGTCTTTCACAACCTTAATAAAACGTTTAGAAGCCGCAACTTCGCGCCTCGAGGACCTTGCCACCTCAACTGCCTCCGCAGTGGCGGTTACGAATAACCTTGGTCGTCACCCAGTTGGTGGACAGCCCGCGCCAACCTCATACAGCGTTCCCGCCAGTAATAATGTGACCGAGGAACCGGAGGTGCCTCTCGTGTTAGCTGCTTATGATGAGATTATGGAGAATTCTTTGAAGAATTTTGTGGATTTATCGAAGAGTATTGGCGGGCTTGTTGAGGATCAGGTTAGAAAAGAGAGGGAGAATTTGTGAGCGAGCAAGATGGCTAGATTTATGGGAGTTTGGAGAGAATTGGTCGATGTGATTCTGGCCTGTCAACAAAGTAATTCTCAACTATAAGAGCGCGAAGGCATGAGACAATACTTGTCGCTCAATCACGCCGTTATCTATAAATCTCAGAGTAATATCGCCAAAACTAATCATTTTGCTGTCTTTTTTTCTTTAAAATCAGAGCCATTCAGTTGAAGACATTTTTATAGCTCAACGCGACTTTATATATATTGCAACGCAATCCCAAAAACCCAGTCTTTCTTCTGATACGTTTTCCGAACTTCTCAAACTTACGCAACAAGCATTAGAGAAAGTATGCGAATACCGTGAGAACAATCGCCCTTCGTCGTTTTTTAATCACCTATCGACTGTGAGTGAAGGTATAGGCGCATTAGGTTGGGTGACAGTAGAGCCCAGGCCGGCACCATACGTCGGAGATTTAAAAGAAAGTGCGCAATTTTACGCCCATAGGGTTATTCAAGAGTGGAGAGATCGGTAAGTTTTTTCATTTGAAAGGGAAGAAACAGGAGATTTAGAGGTGCAACGTAGTGAGTATATTTTTGAATAGGCAAGCTTGTCCTATCGACAAGAGAAACTAATGTTTTGTGGAAGAATCTAACTAGATGACGGTTTTACTTTGTTCAGAGATAGAGCACATGTAGATTGGGCGAACAGTTTTATTATTCTTCTCACTGAGTTACAAGGCTATGTTAAAAAGTATCATCCAACTGGGCTGGTCTGGAATCCACAAGTAAGATTACTACAACGAATATCTGAGCGTTGTTATTGGCGTTTACAATTATCCGATTAAATTTTGTGTCTACATTTTTAATAGGGAGTAGATGCAAAGACATTCATCGGCCGCAAACCCGCTCAGGCTGGTGTATCTTCTACTTCAGCTCCTCCCCCTCCTCCCCCACCTCCGCCGCCGCCGCCTGTTGAACCATCATCGTCTAGTGGAACATCCGCTGATATGGGAGCAGTGTTCGCTGAGATTAATAAAGGCGAAGGTATCACTGCTAGCCTGAAGAAAGTTGATAAGAGTCAAATGACACACAAGAATCCTGCATTGAGGGTTAGTGCAACAGTTGGCGATGTTGGAGGTAAGTTATTTGGACAACAACAATGGCACGCGAAAGAGAGAATGTATTATATAGGTTGCTGTGGTCGTTTGAGAGTCTATCATTTTTGAATATATTTGGTGGCAAGTAATATTTTATTCGAATCAGGCGAATGTAGTACTCATGTTCATCTGTTTATCCCCAAGCCAAGTCACACAAGAAAGGCCCGACTGCACCACCCAAGCCAGCTTCGTTGAGTATGAAGAAGCCTCCAAAGACTGCATTGGATGGAAATAAATGGACCATTGTTAGTATACTCATCTCTTGTGGACTTGTTCCTGCTGAGCATTAGTGAGCCTGTTATTTACTGATACTTTGCTTATGCAGGAAAATTACGAAAACGATAGTAACGTTATGTTGGATCAGGCGGCAATCAATCAAACTGTCTATATTTATGGATGTAAGAATTCAACGATCCAAGTAAAAGGCAAGGTCAATACTGTTACAATTGGTGAGTGCAATACTTCAATTACAACCGGTTGCTGAATAATTACCACAAAATATTAACGTTGTTACTACTGCTTATTCTTAGATTCCTGTCAAAAGACTGGCGTGCTACTGGAGTCTGTAGTCGCTGCTGTCGATGTTGTTAATTGCAAATCAGTTCAGCTCCAGATTCTCGGTAAGACGCCGACTATCGCACTTGACAAAACTGACAGCGGTCAAGTGTTCTTATCATCATCATGTTTGGACGTGGAAATCCTGACTGCCAAGTGCTCTGCCATCAATGTTAACGTTCCCGAAATTGGTGAGAATGGTGATTATGCTGAGCGGCCAGTACCCGAGCAATTGAAGAGTACAATCGTTGATGGGAAGCTTGTTACCGTTCCCGTTGAGCATACAGGATAAAGGGTGTTGGCGAGTTTAAAAAGGCGGGTAAAATCGTTTGGAATATCTCAGGGGTCCGCAGTAATAGGTTTAATTATGGATACCGAGACTATTTATTGATGTTAAGCAAGATAATGATGTTTGATACGATCATTGGGTTGATAGCATAGTAGAGTGTAATTAATGCGCAGTTTTTTATCTTCGATTACCTTTTTATCTACTTATCCGTGACATATTAAAAAGAAACAATACCAAGTTATTTATCGAATTTGTTATGCAGCAGCTTTTGTAATTTTGGACGATGATGAGGTTTAGTAGCGTCAAACACGCAATTAATGTTAGCAATTTCTGACCCATCCAACGTAAATGTCATTGTAGAGATGCGGAACTACTTGCGAGTATTAAGACTGATCATTAACAGCATCTCACTATAGATTTACGAGAATATATTAAAAAAATTCAGCCCAGAAAAGTAATACTAATTACGATAACAAAAATATTGAATTTAATTCGCATCTGTGGCAAAGAGGTTACATTTATTAATGGCCATGCATCTGATTTTTCCATCGTCAATTCTGACATTTTTTCGCAAATTGGTAAGGCCCTTAGAAGACTTATTTTGTTAGCCTTCTAAAGGCCAAACTCAATTTCTGGATTAGTCAGGAAAATTAAACGACGAATCCACGGCATTAATGAGTACGGACCTTAAAATGTACTGTGACATTATGTTCATGTTCACTTTGTTGCAGCGTTCCTCAGATAACCGGGAGTATTGGTAAACCCCCCATTCCGTAATGAAATTTGCACGTGAGATGCATATATTGACAAAGCATTCGCGCGTGGATGTGTTCAAACATTTATTACATTACTCTCCGCATTAAACATAAATATTAGTATACTCTACTATGTTGACGGTTGACTACTTTCTCCATCTCCTTTTTCCGTCGGTGGTGGCGTTTGATCATTTGGTGACTCTGGGTTAACATACTCGTCGTATGGTGTCTTATCTGGGAAGGGTCTTTTCCCTAATAGTGTATGCATATCTTCCCTGTTAAGAACTTCTTTGGATAATAGCAATTGAGCTACTTTCTCAACTTCGTTCTTCCTCTCAGTCAACAGAGCAACTGTCCTATCATACGCACGTGACACTAATTGACGCACTTCATCATCAATCATCCTTGCCGTCTCCTCCGAATATGGTTTCTGAAACTGTGGCTCAGTCTCATTGGATCCTTGGAATGACAATGGACCTATATTTGAATTCATTCCGTACGTAGATATCTGCGCATACGCCAACTTCGTTACTTTTTGCAAATCATCCTGCGCTCCCGTAGTGATAACTCCAAAGAATATTTGCTCGGATACACGTCCGCCAAGAGTCATGCACATGCGGTCGAGTAACTGAGCAGTAGAATATAAATACTGGTCTTTAGGGAGATATTGAGCATATCCCAACGCACCAATACCCCGTGGAATAATAGACACTTTCAAAAGCGGATCGGCATGCTCAAGATACCATCCGGCTACAGCATGTCCTGCTTCGTGATATGCAACTGTCTTCTTTTCTGCAGGTGATAGCACTCGACTCTTTTTTTCTAATCCGGCAATCACCCTTTCAATAGCTTGTTCAAAATGTTCTTCTTCTACCCACTCGCGATGATATCTGGCCGCAATCAATGCAGCCTCATTACATACGTTAGCGATATCTGCTCCACTAAACCCAGGTGTTAATGCTGCTAACTTATTTGATATTCTATCAATGTCTTCTTTTGTTTTTATTGGTTTCAGATGAACTTTGAAGATTGCACTACGTCCTTTAATATCAGGTTTATCAATAGCAATGTGTCTATCAAATCGACCAGGGCGCATAAGAGCAGGATCTAATACATCCGGACGGTTGGTACCAGCTAACACTACCACATGTTCGCTCGACCCAAATCCGTCCATCTCAACAAGCAACTGATTCAATGTACTTTCTCTCTCGTCATTCCCTCCAAATTGTCCCATTTTACCACGTGACTTACCAATCGCATCAATCTCATCAACGAATATGATACAAGGGGCATGCTTCTTAGCATTAGCAAACAAATCACGCACACGCGATGGACCCACACCAACAAACATCTCCACGAATTCACTTCCTGATACACTCAGAAAAGGTACTCCCGCTTCACCCGCTGTAGCTTTCGCAAGAAGAGTCTTTCCTGTACCAGGCGGACCACTGAGAATAGCTCCCTTGGGTATCTTGGCACCCAATCTCTCATAGGCTGTCGGATCTTTGAGAAATTTAACAAATTCCATAATTTCCTCCTTTGCTTCATCCATGCCAGCGACATCCTTAAATTTAACTTTCACGTCAGTTTCCTGATTAAACAATTTGGCCTTTGATTTTCCTATACCAAAGATCCCTTGAGAGCCAGCTGCTCCACCAGCTCTCCTTGTAATATAGAAAAGAGCACCAGCAAGTAATAGCGTCGGCGCGAAATGTAATAGAGTGCTCATAACGCTAATCTCGTCATGATAAGCAACGGGAATACGTTCCGAAGGTAAAATGTTCAATTCGTTCTGTGCCTCATCCAGTTTTCTCTCAAATGCCTCGATAGAACCAATGCTAAAGTAATACGTAGCTCCAGGAACAGTAGGCGCATTAGGATACATCTGGCCTGTTGCATTAGAATGTAGATATACTCTCACTTTTTTTCTATTTATTACAACTAACTTATCTACCAGTCCCTTCTCCAAAAATGCAGTTCGAAATTCTTGCCATGTGATCTCCCTCGAATTGTCGCCTCCACCGACTACTCTATATAGAATGTATGCGGAAAATATTAAGGGAAGTAGTGTATTCGCATTCAGCGTCATAGTCCAGATTTCCTTTGGTTGTGGAGGTGGTTTAGGAGGCGTGTTCTCAGCGCCCAACTTCGGCTTTGGTTCAGAACCATTCCGCACAGGCGGCGCTTGCCCACGTCCTTTATTGAAAAAATTCTCGAATCCCTTGGGAACTTTTGTTTTAGCTTTGATTTCTTCAGGGTTTTTGCTGCTGCCTCCCTTATTGTCTGTGAAGAAGCCTCCATCTGCGTTGGAGGGTTGATCTCTTTTTTGCTCTGCGTTGGGTGACTGATCTTTCTTATGTTCTGCGTTGGGCGGTTGATCTTTATTATGCTCTGCTTCAGTGGCATATTTCCTGCGTTGATCTCTACTAACAAAAAATTCTGAACAAGTAATTTCTAATTGATTACGGGTTAGTGGTGTTGTTGTCTTGCCAGAGAAAACGCCGCGTATGAGCATGCGCGTTCTGTTCGACGATTGAGTTCTGGTTAGGCGGTAATAGCGTGCTATATAAGCATTCATTATATGCAGAATAATGATGGGGAGGTAATGGGTTAAAAGAGAATGTTCTAAAATCCGCTAGAGCATTCATGAAAAGAAAGAAACTGGAGAGTAGCCTCAAAATTTGTTGCGGACGCGTGACTTTTGTATTACATCTCCCGATCACGTTTTCGTTGATAATACTTCTCGTATTTATATGTTTGTTCATTTAAATATAACGACAGTAACGACCTTTAAGTTAGGCTTTGCTACTCACAAGCTAATGTAATCGGTAGACCTAATCTTAACTCGACGGTTCTTTTCCCTCGAGCTAATTTTCTATTCCCTTCCCCTATTACTGAGACCTATGACCGATGGGTACTTCAGGGAAAGAATGGTCTTTACTAAAAATATATTAATAAAAATTTTCATATGGTTGTGTGTAATTTTTTTACTATTTTTATATGCTAATGATAGTAATTAGAGTATAAGATGGTATATTTTCCCAGATTATACCATAAATTGCTCCAGTTTATTCTGATCTCAGAACTGTTCAGTCAGATTTACTGTATTTGTAGAATACCATGGTAAAGATGTCATCGCTCATTTGTAATATCAATGTCAAAGAAAATACCCATATTTGCATTGATCGAGACTAATCCCCATATTATACACCATTCCCAATTGGCAACAGTCGTGCTAGTATAAAACTGTCAGAATAATAGCGCGCATGAAGAATTGAATTCTTGATTACAACGACACCCTTCTAAATGCAAACCTCGGGACCGAGTGCTGCGTTGCATTTATGGGAGTGTCGCATTTATGGAGGGTATCTATCAGCAAAGACATCTTAATTATTACAGATTTTACTTTCTCGCCAACTTTATGTAAAAGATTTGGATATAAACATTTCCTAATTGTCAACTAATAATTAAATTATAAATGTCTTTACGCGTTTTCTAGACTTTAGCGCCCCATAAACACTCACTATTGAGGTTTTATTACTATCATTGTCAGTTTCTTTCCTTTTCACGATTAGAGCTAGTAACAATGCTCCATAAAGAATTCTTTTCCCAGTAAAGAATGTTGGTACGCGCAAATAAGATTTGATTAATATTGTATTCAGTCTTGCTATTAAACTATTGCTACTGCTTTATCATTTTCTGCAAAAATTAACATTACTATTGCGGAAATTACGGGAGTTGCGTTTACAGAAATATATCTATTAGAGCGGGACTGCAATTGCAGAAAAACGGGTGATTGCATCTATTCACGTGCTTATGTCGCTGTATAACCTTTGTTGAGTGCGTTGTGCTTTATTATGTTAAATAAAATAAATGTGCAAAAAGCAACGTGGCGACTATAAATACCTACCGTTTTTCTCTTTGAGAGACCATTAACGCAAAAAGTGATATCACGTCCAACAAAAGGAATTTTCTTTCTTTTTTTCTTTTCCGTTAGACCTTACGATCTAAACATTACCGCGTTATAGTATTCTTTTACAGTAGCGGTCATAAGTATCCGAACGGTTGTATCACCTAAACGTACATAATAATAGCTTATTAAATTTTCCAGGCAAAAGGTTTATGACAATGCCTGATCACACGTACAATTTCAGCTCGAGCGAATGTTTCCAGCAAATTCTCCAAACATTTGATATTTTGTTTCGAAAACGTATGGAAACATATGAAAACATATCAAAATCGCATTCGCTTATTTCGAACTTAAACTTCAAAAATTCATATCTCTACACGTTTCTAATCGATTTTCATAATCCTTTTTTCCTTTTGCTTATCTAAGCCATCTCTACATGGTTTTTGGAACATCTGGTCGAATTATGAAACTATTGTTACTATAAAAGGAAACAGATGCGCATTATAACTCTTAGAGTCGTCATGTTGCACGCTTATTTGCATTTCGTAGTAGCAATCACGCTATAATTCCCCCAAGATTATAACCATAATTATGGCTGGTTCAAAGAATAAAAAAGAATACAAAATGTTGTTAGAAAAACATCGAGATATGAATTTTTGAAGTTTTATGGTTGGCATCGCATAGAGGGGTGTAGTATAGTCCGATACAAAATATCAAATGTTTGGAGAATTTGCTGGAAACATCCGCTCGAGCTGAAATTTTACGTGTGATCAGGCATTGTCATAAACCTTTTGTCTGGAAAATTTAACGAGCTATTATTATGTACATTCAGGTGATACAACCGTTCGGATACTTATGACCGCTACTGTATATATAATGTTTGTTTATATTTTTCCACCCTTCTTTGAATTAATTCTCATTATGAAGCCTATTTCTGAAGAAACTCATAATACAAATTGTTTCCCTCTTGATAATGGACTTTCTTCATATAAAATTACTGCACAATTGAATATTAGTCGTGCAACTGTGGGTAGAGTACGTGAGAAGTCAAGACCAAACATAAAAAAAAGTCAGGGTGGATGGCCAGCCAAACTTACTGAAACTGGTAAATATAGGTTGTGCATACAATCACTTCAGGAAAGGCAGATAATGCTTACTTAGCTCTCGTGAACTGAAAGAGAGCACCAACATAGTGTTGAGCACCCAGACAGTGCATTATGCTTTAAAGGAAGCTGGTTTAAAGGCTGCAACAAAGAAGAAAAAGCCTTGACTTCTACCAAGACATATTTATCAACATCTTGACTTTGCAAAAAAATACCAACACTGGACCATTGAAGACTGGAAGTGTGTCATTTGGTCAGATGAGACCAAAATAAATCAATTAGGGTCAGATGGGCATGAATGGGTCTGGAAAAGCCGGGTAGGATAACAGAGCAGCATGTTAAAAAAACAGTAAAATATGGTGGTAGAAGTCTTATGATTTGGGGCTGCATGACAGCTCAGGGGGTTGGTTATGCCTGTCAAATTGATGGGCATATGAATGCAGAACTTTATACTTGCATTCTTGGAGAAGAATTTCTCCAAAGCCTTGATTATTATGGGATAAAATCATTTTCCAACAGGACAATAATCCCAAACACACCTCCCAGCTTGCCCAAAAATGGTTCAAGAACAACAATGCTGGGGTGCTAGATTAGCCAGCTCAATTACCAGACTTAAACCCAATTGAGCACCTATGGCAGCACCTCAAATGTAAATGACAGCTTGCTACTTATGAGACAGACCCAGAGAGTATGCATGAGCTATGGGAGCATGTGGAGGCTGAGTGGAATAAGATTCCACCACAAACATGTGTAGATTTAATAACAAGTATGCCTAGG